CACACGCAGAGACATACATAGGCTCAAAATAAAGGGATGGAGGAAGATTTACCAAGCAAATGGAGAACACAAAAAAGCGGGGGTTGCAATACTAGTCTCTGATAAAACAGACTTTAAACCATCAAAGATCAAAAGAGACAAAGAAGGCCATTACATAATGGTAAAGGGATCAATTCAACAGGAAGAGATAACTATCCTAAATATATATGCACCCAATACAGGAGCACCCAGATTCATAAAGCAAGTCCTTAGAGACTTACAAAGAGACTTAGACTCCCATACAATAATAATGGGAGACTTCAACACTCCACTGTCAACATTAGACAGATCAACGAGACAGAAAGTTAACAAGGATATCCAGGAATTGAACTCATCTCTGCAGCAAGCAGACCTAATAGACATCTATAGAACTCTCCACCCCAAATCAACAGAATATACATTCTTCTCAGCACCACATCGTACTTACTCCAAAATTGACCACGTAATCGGAAGTAAAGCACTCCTCAGCAAATGTACAAGAACAGAAATTATAACAAACTGTCTCTCAGACCACAGTGCAATCAAATTAGAACTCAGGACTAAGAAACTCAATCAAAACCGCTCAACTACATGGAAACTGAACAACCTGCTCCTGAATGACTACTGGGTACATAATGAAATGAAGGCAGAAATAAAGATGTTCTTTGAAACCAATGAGAACAAAGATACAACATACCAGAATCTCTGGGACACATTTAAAGCAGTGTGTAGAGGGAAATTTATAGCACTAAATGCCCACAAGAGAAAGCAGGAAAGATCTAAAATTGACACTCTAACATCGCAATTAAAAGAACTAGAGAAGCAAGAGCAAACACATTCGAAAGCTAGCAGAAGGCAAGAAATAACTAAGATCAGAGCAGAACTGAAGGAGATAGAGACACAAAAAACCCTCCAAAAAATCAATGAATCCAGGAGTTGGTTTTTTGAAAAGATCAACAAAATTGACAGACCACTAGCAAGACTAATAAAGAAGAAAAGAGAGAAGAATCAAATCGACGCAATTAAAAATGATAAAGGGGATATCACCACCAACCCCACAGAAATACAAACTACCATCAGAGAATACTATAAACACCTCTACGCAAATAAACTGGAAAATCTAGAAGAAATGGATAATTTCCTGGACACTTACACTCTTCCAAGACTAAACCAGGAAGAAGTTGAATCCCTGAATAGACCAATAGTAGGCTCTGAAATTGAGGCAATAATTAATAGCCTACCAACCAAAAAAAGTCCAGGACCAGATGGATTCACAGCTGAATTCTACCAGAGGTACAAGGAGGAGCTGGTACCATTCCTTCTGGAACTATTCCAATCAATAGAAAAAGAGGGAATCCTCCCTAACTCATTTTATGAGGCCAACATCATCCTGATACCAAAGCCTGGCAGAGACACAACAAAAAAAGAGAATTTTAGACCAATATCCCTGATGAACATCGATGCAAAAATCCTCAATAAAATACTGGCAAACCGGATTCAGCAGCACATCAAAAAGCTTATCCACCATGATCAAGTGGGCTTCATCCCTGGGATGCAAGGCTGGTTCAACATTCGCAAATCAATAAACATAATCCAGCATATAAACAGAACCAAAGACAAGAACCACATCATTATCTCAATAGATGCAGAAAAGGCTTTTGACAAAATTCAACAGCCCTTCATGCTAAAAACGCTCAATAAATTCGGTATTGATGGAACGTACCTCAAAATCATAAGAGCTATTTATGACAAACCCACAGCCAATATCATACTGAATGGGCAAAAACTGGAAAAATTCCCTTTGAAAACTGGCACAAGACAGGGATGCCCTCTCTCACCACTCCTATTCAACATAGTGTTGGAAGTTCTGGCTAGGGCAATCAGGCAAGAGAAAGAAATCAAGGGGATTCAGTTAGGAAAAGAAGAAGTCAAATTGTCCCTGTTTGCAGATGACATGATTGTATATTTAGAAAACCCCATTGTCTCAGCCCAAAATCTCCTTAAGCTGATCAGCAACTTCAGCAAAGTCTCAGGATACAAAATTAATGTGCAAAAATCACAAGCATTCTTATACACCAGTGACAGTCAAACAGAGAGCCAAATCAGGAATGAACTTCCATTCACAATTGCTTCAAAGAGAATAAAATACCTAGGAATCCAACTTACAAGGGATGTAAAGGACCTCTTCAAGGAGAACTACAAACCACTGCTCAGTGAAATAAAAGAGGACACAAACAAATGGAAGAACATACCATGCTCATGGATAGGAAGAATCAATATCGTGAAAATGGCCATACTGCCCAAGGTAATTTATAGATTCAATGCCATCCCCATCAAGCTACCAATGAGCTTCTTCACAGAATTGGAAAAAACTGCTTTAAAGTTCATATGGAACCAAAAAAGAGCCCGCATCTCCAAGACAATCCTAAGTCAAAAGAACAAAGCTGGAGGCATCACGCTACCTGACTTCAAACTATACTACAAGGCTACAGTAACCAAAACAGCATGGTACTGGTACCAAAACAGAGATATAGACCAATGGAACAGAACAGAGTCCTCAGAAATAATACCACACATCTACAGCCATCTGATCTTTGACAAACCTGAGAGAAACAAGAAATGGGGAAAGGATTCCCTATTTAATAAATGGTGCTGGGAAAACTGGCTAGCCATAAGTAGAAAGCTGAAACTGGATCCTTTCCTTACTCCTTATACGAAAATTAATTCAAGATGGATTAGAGACTTAAATGTTAGACCTAATACCATAAAAATCCTAGAGGAAAACCTAGGTAGTACCATTCAGGACATAGGCATGGGCAAAGACTTCATGTCTAAAACACCAAAAGCAACGGCAGCAAAAGCCAAAATTGACAAATGGGATCTCATCAAACTAAAGAGCTTCTGCACAGCAAAAGAAACTACCATCAGAGTGAGCAGGCAACCTACAGAATGGGAGAAAATTTTTGCAATCTACTCATCTGACAAAGGGCTAATATCCAGAACCTACAAAGAACTCAAACAAATTTACAAGAAAAAAACAAACAACCCCATCCAAAAGTGGGCAAAGGATATGAACAGACATTTCTCAAAAGAAGACATTCATACAGCCAACAGATGCATGAAAAAATGCTCATCATCACTGGCCATCAGAGAAATGCAACTCAAAACCACAATGAGATACCATCTCACACCAGTTAGAATGGCGATCATTAAAAAGTCAGGAAACAACAGGTGCTGGAGAGGATGTGGAGAAATAGGAACACTTTTACACTGTTGGTGGGATTGTAAACTAGTTCAACCATTATGGAAAACAGTATGGCGATTCCTCAAGGATCTAGAACTAGATGTACCATATGACCCAGCCATCCCATTACTGGGTATATACCCAAAGGATTATAAATTATGCTGCTATAAGGACACATGCACACGTATGTTTATTGCAGCACTATTCACAATAGCAAAGACTTGGAATCAACCCAAATGTCCATCAGTGACAGATTGGATTAAGAAAATGTGGCACATATACACCATGGAATACTATGCAGCCATAAAAAAGGATGAGTTTGTGTCCTTTGTAGGGACATGGATGCAGCTGGAAACCATCATTCTTAGCAAACTATCACAAGAACAGAAAACCAAACACCGCATGTTCTCACTCGTAGGTGGGAACTGAACAATGAGATCACTTGGACTCGGGAAGGGGAACATCACACACCGGGGCCTATCATGGGGAGGGGGGAGGGGGAGGGATTGCATTGGGAGTTATACCTGATGTAAATGACGAGTTGATGGGTGCAGCACACCAACATGGCACAAGTATACATATGTAGCAAACCTGCACGTTGTGCACATGTACCCTACAACTTGAAGTTTAATAATAATAAATAAATTTAAAGAAAAAAAAAAAAGAAAACTGAAATTTCAGATTGCACCCTTGATCTAATAAATCAGAATGTGCATCTTAAAAAAAAAATAATAATAAAAAAAAAAAAAAAAAAAGAAGTATTATTCATCACTTCATAAATATTATCAATGAGGTATTGTGGGGACCAGAACAAACAGCCAGAATGTGTACAACTAGAATGTATCTCAGTCCTAGAGGCAAACTTACAGAAGTATGCAGTAGCAGATATATGATTTTCTCATTGTTCATCACATTCTAGGGTAGCACACAGCAATTCGGCATAGCGGCAAGTCAGATTCTGGGAGAGACCCCCATCCTTGGGCTTTGGGGCTTTCAAGTTGAATTTTTAGGGAAGCATCAGCTCCTCCTTGCTATATTCAGGGATCAGCCAGGATACAACAGCAATATGAGTTGGCTCTAGCTCCATGCTGCTAACTCAGCGTTTATGTTTGGGGTAGCACCAGCCTCTCTGCTGGAGTAATTAGCAGGCTGGAGTCCAACTCTTGTGGTTGCAGCTGTGTAGTCTAGCAAGCTATCGGCTGGATTTGCCACATCAGCATTCACTGCTAGAGAAACTGGCAGGGGGACTGGGATCCAAGACTTGCCATTATTGACCAGGATTAATGTCCTTAAATTTAGGCCATTGCCAGTTTTCATTGGCACTTTGCAGAAAACCCATTTGTTTCTTGGGAGGCCTGCTTCAAGGGACAAGTCTTAAATACTAACCCTTACCCCTTAAGGGAAATAGATAAGTGTAGAGCACAAAAATAGATAGGTGCAGTCCCAGCTATTCAGGAGGCTGAGGAAGGAGGACTGATTGATCCCAGGATTTCAAGGCTGTGGTGTGCTATGATTGCATTTGTGAATAGTCACTGCACTCTAGCTTGGGAAACATAGCAAAATCTGTCTCTTAAAAAAAAAAAAAGTAGGCAGCAAGGGAGTTGGTCTTTAAGTAAAGATTCAACATATTTGCCCTCCTGTCTGATCCTCTAGTCTTACCTCCCACAGAGTCAATATTTGAATACAGATGTTTTTATTCCAGATTCACTGATCTTTGCAACATCTTTTAGCTCCTCACCTGTTTTTCTTTGGAATGGTTGTAGAGCCTGTGGGAGGTGGGCATAGTATGGGTTAATCTTTTTTTGGCTGTAGCAGCTATGTCCAAATAATCCCCCAGATAAAAATAAGATTTACTTCAGGGTCCAGAAGTTCCTTTTCTTCTCTGTTGGTTGTGGAGAAATCTTAAAGACATATCAGCACTGTATTCATTTTTCTGCACAGTAAGACTTCAATTAATCACTTATTTCAGTTCTTTGTTTTGGGAGAATCAATCTTTTAAGTAAATTGTGAATTAAAAATTATACATGTTTCAGGCCACACGTCTTGTGGATTTCCAGTTTTGTTGCTCTTATTGATTGGTGTTTTGCTTTCTTCCAGTCCTGGATAGCCACACACTATTCAACAAAACCATGTTGCTGCAAGTGAAAATAACTACATTTGTCAGCTTGGAGAGTTACAAAATGGAGTCCAAATTAAACTGCACATTAGATGCCATTCTTGAAATTGAAATGTTTATATGACTAATAAATATGTGAATTGTACAAGATGTCCAAAGCCATGCTCTTGGTTGAAACACACCATTTTTGATCCGTATGGAGTGAAAGACTCCTCCGGAAGTCTGGTGATTGCACTGAAGCCAATTTGCACTATTTTTGCCCAGGACACAGACTTATGGGTAAAACTACCTTGGCAACATAGTTTAAGAAAAGCTAGTCTTTAATTCACGCTATTCCCTTGTTTTGAACTTCTTTTCCTACGATCTTTGCCTATTAAATCTCTACTAGTAAAAAATTAGTAACTAGTAGCTAGTAAGCACTTATCATGGGCCAAGCATGGTACCAAGAGACCTACATACACACGCTCATTCTTTTTTTGGTTTGTTTTTGTATTGCTTGTGCTGCTCTAGGCAGGCCGTGAATGAGAAAGAAGTAATCTCATTGGTCTGATTTCTCTAGTACTTACATTCTAATAGGGGAGATAACAAAATAAGGTAATTTCAGAGAGTAGTAAGTGTCATGGAGAATGTAAAATAGGGTAATGGGAGTGGAAGGGGCAATTTTAAAGCAGGTGACCCCAGAAGGCCCTTCTGAAGCTATGGGAAGGAGCCAGCTCTGTGAAGATCCATCAGCAGACCTACAGGAGGAGAGATTTTTCAAAACCCAAAACCTGAGGCAGGAATGAGCATAACAATGTCATGAAGTTGGTAGGTCCATTTGTGTGACCTGGCCAAGATGCATAACTCATCTGAACCCCAGTTTCATCTCTTGCAAAGGCAGATTCATTAGCTCATTCATAAAATTTCTGTTGAGCACTTACTAGATGTCAGGCACTGTTTAGACCCCTCTGGGGATATATAAAAATAAACAGTCACTGCCCAGTATCCTGAGAGAGAGTAAATGTTTACATTCTAGTGGAGGAATGGGGAGACAAACAACAAACAAATATAAATAAAGAAAGATTGGCAATGACAAGTGCCTTGAAGAAAAATAAACCAGAGTAAGGAGATGAGAGTGGAGCTGAGAGGTAGGTTATTAGGGGGATCAAGGAGAGCCTTTCTGTGGAAGCAATGTTTGAGTAGAAGGAAGAGAGAGAGAGAAGCAGGACATACGGACATCTGGAGGCAGTGGGGGGACATTTGAGCTGGAGAGAACAGCAAGTGCCCTGAGGTTGAAGGGAGACTAATATGTTCAAGGCATAGGAGAGGGGTCAGTGTGGTAGGATGTGTGTCACAGAGGAAGGCAGGAACCATATCATGCAAGACTAGGTCATTCTAAGGGTGATGAAGGTTAGAAGGAGGAATATGATGGGAGTAATGATATCGACAACTGGGTATTGGGAGAATTGAGATAAGGCAATATATAGCTAACACAGTGCCTGACAGACAAAGCCTGCCTCCCTCCCTCCCTCCCTTCCCTTCCCTCACCCCTCCCTTCCTTGCTCCTTCTTTCCTTCTTTCTTTCCTTCCTTCCTTCCTTCCTTCCTTCCTTCCTTCCTTCCTTCCTTCTTATCACATGCTGGCCAGCCACCATGCCTTCCTTTGTATTCTTTATTCTTACTTACCTTGTTGCATCCTTCGCCAGCTTCCTCAGCCTCCCTCCCTCCCTCCCTACTCCTTCCTTCCTTCCTTCCTTCCTTCCTTCCTTCCTTCCTTCCTTCCGTCCGTCCTTCCTTCCTTCCTCCTTCCCTCCCTCCCTCCCTCCCTACCTCACTATCTCCCTCAATTCCTCCCTTCCTCGATCCCTCCCTCCCTCCCTCCTTCTCTCCCTCCTACCCCAGCTTTTCCTCAATGTCTCCCTCCCTGTTCATTTTCTTCCCCCTTCTTTGTACACGTGCACTGCTCAAATATATCTCTGAATAAGATGTCTAACTTGCTGTTGTCTGTTTACTTACCACTTTCATGCTAAACTGTAAGTTCTTAGAAGACAGGAAAGTTGTCTTTTATGTCGTGTAGTAGCCACATTTCCCCCAGTACCTTGCAAAATTTGTTGAATTTGCTTTCCAAAATTCTGCTCCATGGGGAATGGAAATGATTCCTGGGAGTTAAGATGTATGAACGGATTAGCACGACCTCCTTGTTTGGACTGGAGAGCCCTGAGTTGGTCATGGCAACTACACTGGGAAAGCTGCAGTAATACGGTTGTTCACATAAGAGCTCTCTAGTTTGCTATTAGTTTGGAGCCTGGTGCTAAATCTAGTGGGATTTGGGCAAGTCCCTTAATTTTTCTGAAGTTCAATTTTCTCATGTGTACAACTGAAATAATAATCTAAAGGATTATTGGGGGATTGAATGAAATAATATACACCAAGCTGTAAGTATGGTGGACAGCTCTGAGTGACTGATAAATACTATCTAGTATTGAAGGTGTTGTCCCAGTTTCCTTCTCCTCCCCCATAATCATCAAACCAACTTTGGAAGCTGTGGAAAAGCACGGGGAGCCTTTCCCCTACTGAAGTGGTAAATTCTACTCTCTTAGTTATAATTATACTATGATCCTGGTGCTGGGAAGAAAGTTGAGTCACTTAACACCAACTCCTCCTGTTGGACTTTGCCTACCCATCTGTGCCTGATTTACTGTAGTTGTTTGAGATCAAAGAACTTGTTTTATTTATCTGTATGATAAAAAGGATAACTTTCCTAAGGTCACACATAAAAGTGGCAGAGGAGGCTTTGCGTAAAGATGTGGCTCATTCTGAAGCTCATGGGAACAGAAGAAAACATGCTCTCCTAAGAGGCAAGAAACAAAATGTAGGCACTCTACTACTTATCTTGTCACCTTGGGAAAATACATTTATCCTCTTTCAGGGAAAAGACTACCTTTCTGATTCCCAGACCAGTGCGCCTTCTGTTGACCTTCTTGGGTTTCATTTTTCACATGTATGAATTGAAGATGTTGGCATAGCTTGACTCTGTCCTGCATTTTCATACCTACGTGGTGATATACATGCCCCAGGCCCTTTTTAGTGACCTGGTTCTGTAAAGTCACCTTTCTGCTGAGAGATCCATGTGATTATTCCTAGGCACCGATTGCCACCAGTACTTACTAGAGTCATTCAATATTGCAAAGCAGTAAATAGAACCACTTTGTGTGTGTAGTTCAGCAGAGGAAATAACCTTACATTTCAGAATTCTTGAAATGTTTTGTTCTCCCAGTCTTTCTCTAAACACCCTTCCCCCAGCCTTGCTTTTTTGCTTTCATCAGGTACCTTCTGCTTTTATTCCCATCTGTTCTTCCTTTTCCTCATTTTCTCTCCAATGGGGACCTGGAAGATAAGAAAACATACATCTGAAATACAAGATTTGTTGCCTGGGAGAGATCAGAGGATTGTTTATTTCTTTTCTTTTTCTTTTTTTTTTTCCTTAACAGCATGATCAAATCTTGGTTCTTTGCTGAAAACTTTTCCAGATGGGGTAGTTTCTTTGCTAATTAAAAGGTTGGATAATGAGCATTTAGTGTTCTGGTGATTAAGACCTCCTCAGCCTCACAGGTCAGTGCCACCTGAATTAATTGGCACCTTCTCAGTTGGGGTTCAGTTCTCACATCTTATCCTACCAAGAATGGCATTCAGAGCTTTCTGTAATCCGCCCTCATGCAGTTTTCCCAGCCCTTCCTCCCTTTGCTACATCACTCTCTGTTGATGTAGTGATTTACCCTCTGTCACTCTCTTGCTATGTGATTTGCTTTCTTGCCACTATATTCCCTTTTTCTCTCTGCCTGAAATGGTTTAGTTATGATTATAGACTCAGGAGACAGTATGCATTGGAATAATTGGAACTAGCCCTGTCACACTAGTTGTTTAGCACCTCAGCTTTCTTTTTCTTTTTTTTCCTTTTTTTTTTTTTTTTTTTTTTTGAGATAAAGTTTCTCTCTTATTGCCCAGGCTGGAGTGCAATGGTGTGATCTTGGCTCACTGTAATCCTTGCCTCCTGGGTTCAAGCAATTTTCCTGCCTCATTCTATCAAGTAGCTGGGATTACAGGCATGCACCACCGTGCTGGGCTGATTTTGTATTTTTAGTAGAGATGGGGTTTCTCCATGTTGGTCAGGCTGGTCTCGAACTTGCGACCTCAGGTGATCCACCCATCTCGGTCCCCCAAAATGCTGGGATTACAGGCGTGAGCCACCACGCCTGGTCTAACCTCATTGATCTAACCTATAAAAAAGAGAATGATAATAACATACCTCATTGGATAGTTATGAAGATAAAATAAGATAGAGTATAAAGGGTTTGGCAGAGCACCTGTCCTATGGTAAATGCTCACTAACTGTTAGCTACTGTAATTTTCTATTTATATCTATTCAAATCTCACTGCTTCTGCAAGTCTCCTAAAAATATATTTTGCCAAAATTTCTTTTGCCATTGAAAGTAATGGCAAAAGCCACAATTTTGCACAAACTAAGAAGCCTTCTTTGCGCATCTTCCAGCCCAAGATGATCTCTTCTTCCTAGCATTCTTATTTTGTGACTTTTATAGAAACACTTGGTTGGTCTGGATTTATGTTCAAAGTTCCTGACTACAGGTGAAATACTCTTGGAGGAAGAGACCCAAGCTTCTAGCACAATGCTGAGGCACATCTCCATAGAATAGAATTGTTATTTTATGCCCCAGTTAAAGGAATTTTGTTTTTGTTGATGTTGTCTTGGGCTCTTGAGTGTTCTACTGATTTATTGAATGGTCCACTGATTTCTCATTATGTGAAAACTCTGGAGTCCTAGGTGTGTTTCTTCCGAGGACCTAATTAATTCAGGCTGCTAAAGCTGCCACATGGACTGTGGTTTAAGGACTAGGCTATTTGGTGAGCAATTCTAAGTCCTACTTTGGAACACTAAGGTCATATACCTTTGGAATGCCAAATTACAAGATGCTTTGAAGGAACTTTTAGGGTAAATCACAATCTCATCCATGTGCATCTGCAGTTAAGGTTTATAAAGAGAAGTTTGGTTCCTGATTTTCAGTAGCAGTATCATTAGTTTTTTTAAAAACCACTGAAATTTTGCATATATTTTGCCTCATAAATACCTACAATTAGGTCAGCATTCAGAAAAGTGGGCTTCTGTTTGCATAGAATTACATTAATTCTGCATTCTCTCATAGCAAAGTTGAAAGAGAGGATTAATCACTTATTCATGCAAAACCAGTTCGCATGAATCATTTATTTATCTTGTTCTGGTAATTTTGCAGAGCTCATTTTTACGTGCCTCAGGTTGCAGATAAAGCGAAAACTCAGAGGGTGATTTACCCTCCACAATAAAGACCTGATGGCCGTGTAAACAGTATGCTTCCTATAGGAAATCAATAGGTAACCATGGAAATGACTCCACAATGGGAAATTCTATTTTTTTATGAACAAATCATCAAAAAGATCAATTGTAAGACGAAAAGGCTTTGCCTGTGCCCTTACCTTTCACAAAGCCTTTTGGTCTGTGTAAAGAAGAAAACATGTGCTTTGGTGACAGTAATTATCTTAAAGCTGTATTGAGAATGAACACACTTTTTACTTTATAAAGTTTGGTCTGAAATGTCTTGTCCTCCATTCCTGGAGGTCTAGCTAAGAAACTTATATCTAATGGCAAGAAGAATGTTCCAGAATACAGGATGTTTGAATTCTTGATCTGGCCTAATTCATTCATTCCTTCCTTCCTTCCTTCCTTCTTTCCTTCCATCCTCCCTCCTTCCCTCCCTCCCTCCCTCTCTCTCTTTCTTTCTTTCTTTTTTTTTTTTTTTTAAAAAAACAAGGGTAATAATATCCAATGCCAAAGGAGTCTTTGATAATTAAATGAGGTAATAATTAGTAAAGAATATAGTACAGTGCCCAGCACACAGCAAGTAGAAAATGCTATTAACAGCCACTTTTACAGTGATGACAATTGCCCAAACAATATTAATCCCACTAGTAAAGGGTTTTCACATTACAAGTATTTTTTTAAAACTTTCATCTTAGATTCAGGGTACATGTGAAGGTTTGTTACATAGGTAAACTCATGTCATGGGGGTTTATTGTACAGATTATTTCATCACCCAGGAATTAAGCCCAGTACCCAATAATTATTTTTTCTGCTCCTCTCCCTCCTCCCACCTTTCCCACTCAACTAGACCCCAGTGTCTGATGTTTCCTTCTGTGTTCATAAGTTCTTATCATTTAGCTCCCACTTATAAGTGAGAACATGAAGTATTTGGTTTTTTGTTCCTGTATTCATCTGCTGAGGATAATAACCTCTAGCTCCATCCATGTTCCTGTAAAAGACAAGATTTCATTCTTTTTTATGGCTGTATAGTATTGTGTGGTGTATATGTACCACAATTGCTTTATCCAGTCTGTCACTGATGGGCATTTAGATTGATTCCATGTCTTTGCTATTGTGAACAGTGCTGCAATGAACATTTGTGTGCATGTATCTATATGGTAGAGTGCTTTATATCCCTCTGGGTATATACCCAGTAATAGGGTTGACCCAGCCTAATTTCCAGCAGCAATGAGATCTTTAACAAGCAATTTCATCTCAGTGGGCCTTGATTTCCTCATCTGTAAAGTGATCAGACGAGCCTAGGGATGGCAGTCTGATTTAGCCCAGATACAGATGGATGTTGCACATATAGCATTATCTCACTTTCTCTTACTTGGAAGACATTAGTAATCAATAGTAATCTTCTTTGTCACTGAGCTTGGATAGAGTCTCCAAATCCTTATTTATACATTTCTCCAGGCAGCTGCTGCCTATGGATCAGAGTTGTCATGTGTAAGACATCCGTTTACCTCTATGTGACCGTTAAGGTTTATTTAGCCCTGACATTACAAGAATCTGAAAACTAGCTTTAAGTACTGAATATTCATGTCTATTCAGCTAGTCTTAAGCACACAATCCAAGTAACAAGGATAGCACCAACAATAAACAATTATGATATTGTCTTTGTTAAGCCAAATAAACTGATCTCATTAATGTCAAAATATTTATTTCAATGCTAAAGTTACTATTGAACCACTAATTGATAATAATGAAATAATGTTTGTAGCACTCTGCTGCTGTTCACTTATCAGCTTAGTGACACAACTTAAGTAGCAAATCTGATTGCAATTTTCATGCTTGCTCTTTTTTCAACAGTAGAGGGCAGCACAGCTATTTTTAAATGTCTTCTTTGGGAGCCATTTGTGTGTACACACAGGCATTGTATACAATGGGTGCAAAGATGTGACCTGTGGTGGGTTGTAATAGAAGAGTATATTCAGGTGACAAAATAGCCTGCTTAATTAGATCTCTTGGATTGTGGTGTGGAATTTTCCTCTTTAGGCTTTCAGAAATTACCATTACACTGTTAGTATTTACATGTTTCAGCATCTCATATTTATTCTTTTTATTTTGTTCTTTCTGTTGTTTTTTTCCTCCTGTTGTTATTTGTCTCACTTTAGAGGCAGTGTTATGTAAGCGAAAATATCACAGCTTTTGGCTTCTGAAGGTGTAGACTCCAATCCCAGCTCTCCTGCTAGCTCTGTGACTGAGCTGATCAGAATCTCAGAGCCTCAAGATTCTCCTTTTTGAAACAGATATAGAAATACACAATTGAGAGTTTTTAGCATGAAGTGGTGTTGAATTTTATCGAAGGTCTTTTTTACCTCTATTGAGATAATCATGTGGTTTTTGTCATTGGCTCTGTTTATGTGATGGATTATATTTATTGATTTGCGTATGTTGAACCAGTCTTGCATCCCAGGGATGAAGCTGACTTGATTGTGGTGGATAAGCTTTTCGATGTGCTGCTGGATTTGGTTTGCCCGTATTTTATTGAGGATTTTTGCATCAAGTTCATCAGGGATATTGGCCTAAAATTCTCCTTTTTTGATGTGTCTCTGCCAGGTTTTGGTATCAGGATGATACTGACCTCATAAAATGAGTTGAGGAGGAGTCCCTTTTTTTCTATTCTTTGGAATAGTTTCAGAAGGGATGGTACCAGCTCCTCTTTGTACTTCTAATAGAATTCAGCTGTGAATCTGTCTGGTCCTGGGCTTTTTTTGGTTGGTAGACTATTAATTACTGCCTCAATTTCAGAACTTGTTATTGTTCTATTCAGGGATTTGACTTCTTCCTGGTTTACTATTGGGAGGGTGTATGTGTCCAGGAATTTATCCATTTCTTCTAGATTTTCTAGTTTATTTGTGTAGAGGTATTAATAGTATTCTCTGATGGTAGTTTGCATTTCTGTGGGATCAGTGGTGATATCCCCTTTATCATTTTTTATTATGTCTATTCAATTCTTCTCTCTTTCTTCTTTATTAGTCTGGCTAGCCGTCTATTTTGTTAATCTTTTCAAAAAATCAGCTCCTGGATTCATTGATTTTTTGAAGGTTTTTGATTTTGTGTCTCTATCTCCTTCAGTTCTACTCTGATGTTAGTTATTTCTTGTCTTCTGCTGGTTGTTGAATTTGTTTGCTCTTGCTTCTGTAGTTCTTTTAATTGTAATGTTAGGGTGTCAATTTTAGATCTTTCCTGCTTTCTCCTGTGGGCATTTAATGGTATAAATTTCCCTCTAAACACTGCTTTAGCTGTGTCCCAGAGATTCTGGTACGTTGTATCTTTGTTCTCATTGGTTTCAAAGAACTTATTTATTTCTGCTTTAATTTCGTTATTTATGCAGTAGTCATTCAGGAGCAGATTGTTCAGTTTCCATGTAGTTGTGTGGTTTTGAGTGAGTTTCTTAATCCTGAGTTCTAATTTGATTGCACTGTGGTCTGAGAGACTGTTATGATTTCCTTTCTTTTGCATTTGCTGAGTAGTGTTTTACTTCCAATGATGAGGTCAATTTTAGAATATAAGTGCAAAATGGTGCTGAGAAGAAC